GATTGTAGTGTATCAAACAATGCTGAGAAACTGTCATGGACATGTATTTGCAGAGAGAAGATGTGTTCTGAACTGGAAGAAGCCTTTCCCTAGAGGTGGGTTTCATTGTGTTACCAGTGTATCAGGAAAATCCATATTTGTTCCCACTGGCTACCATTCTTTGTTTCCTTCCTATAAATGCCTTCCTATAAATTTTTCATGGACCATCAACTGATGACTGGCTGGATCTACACTGTGATATAATCCAGTTTCAGAATGCAGTTCTAAAACTGGATATATTAAAATATTATCTAGGTCCTCCAGTGCTACTCCATGGAATTTGGTCACACAGTCATGCTGAAGGACCTAAAGATTCCTAGAGAGAACACCTCTCTAGGAATTTCTATGGGCCCTTCCACACAGCCCTATATACAAGAATATCAAGGCAGAAAATCCCACAATATCTGCTTTGAGCTGGGTTATCTGAGTCCACACTCAGATAATGTGATATTTTCTGCCTTGATATTCTGGGACATAGGGCTGTGTGGAAGGGTCCTATGTCTTTTATTGCAATTTTATGGTTAGCCTCCATCAGAAATTTACACAGGAAGACCTTTAGATTCCTAAAAGGTGTTTTCTCAGATAAGACATTTTATGGTTTTTTTTGTGGTTTGTCACTTTTGCAAGGGTCTAGCACCCCTAACACCAGCTAATGTGGAGGCCTGATTGTATTTGTCTCTAAATGTCATTTCATGAAGGTGCTGGGTATGTGTGTGGCATCCTACAAGGGAAAAGGGAAGCGGAGGAATGGAGGAGCCCTGTGTAAGCAATCAGTTCAGGCCTCTGGCAAAGGGGAAAGAGGTGAGGAGCCAGAGTAATGGAAGGGCAGGGGTAAGTGATCAATTTAGACCTCTAGTAAGTGTAATCTGTCTCTCCCCTGGGAGCAGGCTGAGTGGGAAGGGGGAGAGCCAGAGAAAGAGAGCAAGAAAAAGAATGTGTTTAAGAAGATGGCAGAAAGAGGAGCAGGGTGGGTCGGCCTCCCTTTGGGTCTGGCCCACCCACACTTTTGGCTTCAACCCCACCCACCACAAGCATGTGGCCTTTATATAATTTCCCCATCCCTGCCCATAAGGCATGCCTATAGAGCTGTGCTCAAATCAAAACAATCAAAGGTGGTAAAAGGCATGGTTTGAACAAAACCAGGTTTCGAACAACAGCCATAATATTTGACTGGTTATAGAATGCAGCTCAATGTGTACATAATTCACAGGTAGATTCACCAGTATACATAATCAGCTCTTTATTTAATTCACCATGAAGTCAAAAGGAATTAAGAGTTTCTGATCGAGAAACAAAAGTGTGGATGGCAAACAATTTCTGATTCAAGCAAACCATAGGAGTCAAGCGAGATACAAGGCAGATCTACATACCTGTATAGCAGTGCTCTCAAAAGATCACAGGTTTCTGACAAAAATAACATACAACATACAACAACCAAGCAATCACAACAGTGTATTGTCGAATGCTTTCATGGCTGGAATCACTGGGTTATTGTAGGTTTTTTGGGCTGTATGGCCATGTTCTAGAAGCATTCTCTCCTGGCGTTTCGCCTGCATCTATGGCAGACATCCTTAGAGGTTGTGAGGTCACAACCTCTGAGGATGCCTGCCATAGATGTAGGCAAAATGTCAGGAGATAATGCTTTTAGAACATAGCCATATAGCCCAAAAAACCTACAACAACCCAATCACAACAGTGTTTTGCGGAACGTGACACAGAGGAAGGCAAGACAATAAAATCTGCAGTTTTTATCTTTTCTTACATCAACTTGAATGCCAGCTTTTCTCCACCATCTTTCAAGCCACACAACAACAAACCAACATTAAGGCAGTATTGCAATTCCCAACTAGCCGAGGGCTAAGCTATTGTCTCAATTCTTTGCATTGTATATCACAATACAACTGTCCACACTATTGCTGCAATATATAATTTCTAATACAAGAAAGTAAAAAAAAACAAACAACTTTGTCACAATTTATTTCAAAATTGTTATATGTTGAATATCATTTGTAGCAAAATCTATTGTGAAAAGAATAGTTCCACAAATTTGGCTGCCCTCTTCAATGCACACACATACACTCAGCCAAATCCAAGGTCCTGAGCTCCTATAGTTTTGTGTACCTAGCAAGCCAGCAACGCAACAGGCAAAACAGAATGATCATTTCTGAAGGCTGAGCAAATGTCAGCATCAAAAGCAATAAACAAGTACAAGCCCAACTATGCAGGTTCTCAGGGGATGTTCTTGATTTGGGCTGGGACGTGTTGGTTACAAAGGGGGGATTTCCCTTCTTTAAATGTTTAACAGCTGCAGGTTTTGATGGATCTCCTTTTTGCTACAAGCCTCTGTGAGGCAGAAGCCAGGAGGAGGGGAGGGGAGAAGGCTAAGGTTGAGGCATTTCCCCCCTCTTTCCAATCCCCCTTCAGTGTGTGAAACAGGTGGGTAAACTTTACTGGCATTCATGTGAGTGTGGGTTTTATTTAAAAGGGAGTGGGAGGGTGGAAGAGTAAAGTTGCTTCTATTGTTGAACAAAATCCAAGAGTAGTTTAGGACCACACATGGAGCTGGGGTTGTGCAGGGGGAGGAGGTGTGGAGCGCCAAAGATCGCTGACAGTCATCACAGAGAAACATCTGCTCTTGGAAAGCTCCCAGGCTGCTTGCAAAAGAAGTAAAATAAAATAAAATAAAAAATCCCGGGGTGTGAAAACTCAGCACAACCCAGTGTCAAAAAAAGAGAGGAGACGGCCATAGCCGGAGGTGGAAAGCAAGGAGCAGGACCCAGGAGCTGATGCTAGCGCGGAGAAGAGGGAAAAGACATTGCATACTTAACCTATTAATAACAAAGGCATCATTTTTTATCGAATGGTTCCAGTAGGAAATTGGGATTTGCTCCTGAGTGACCTTTTTTTTTTAAAAAAAAACTTTCAGCTGTTTGCTTTCAACCTGATTCCATTCTCAAGCTGGCAGAAGAGTGTGGCCCTAGTCAAACCTCAACTGTCAGCTCATTAGACGGAGACAGTAATTATCCCCTCCTTCAGCACCACCCTCAGAAAGGCAATTTAGGATTTAATATCAATAATGTAATGCACCAAGCAGGGCCCGGTGGCAAGAAAAGCCATCTCCTCTGAGATGGAGGGAAGAATTTAATTATACCTGTCTGTGTGGAGGCATGTATTTGAACTGATAGAGATCTGAATTGCGCACACTCACAGCAACACCACAGGCGCACACATGCAGAACAGCAGAGAAAGAGGGGTTTTTCTTCCCCCCCACACACGTACACATGTACACACTTGGGAAACAAGTTCAACACAGAAACCAACTCTCTCTCTAAAAAAAAAGACTTGTTAACTCTTTGGGCTGTTGGAGAGATATTTGCTACCCTTATGTTACAGCTTCTCAATATATCTATCACAGCTTCTTGCATATGGAACCAAACATTACCAAACAGGCCTAGACAAAAAAAAGTAAAGGAAATTATCTGCTGAGTGAGAAAGATAAGCTAGAAGATCACCATGACCTCTTCTAACTAGCATTGCATCTGAAAGTACGATTGCCAAAGCTGAAAAAGTCTGGATCTAGATCTGGCATGGGCAAACCTGGGCTCTCCAGGTGTTTTGGAGTTCAACTCCCCCAATTCCTAACAGCCTCAGACCCCTTCCTTTTGTCCCTCAGCCGCTTAAGCCGCTGAGGGGCAAAAGGAAAGGGCCTGAGGCTGTTAGGAATTGGGGGAGTTGAACTAACTCCAAAACACCTGGAGGGACCAAGTTTGCCCATGCCAGATCTATATGGTCCTTGAATGGGAGGCTGCATGGAAACTATATGCAAAACACTTTAGACATCCTGATGGAAATGCAGAATTCAAGTGCATTAAATAAATATCAAAATATTTGTTATTGTTTCTCCAAAGTTCTGGAAACTACCTATTATGAAGGTGTGGTATCATTACTGAAACCTTCAGAACAGAACTGACTTACTCATGTAAATCCAAACTATAATCTCAGGCCCGGTCAGTCATTAATAGTGCAGTTTTCCCATATCAGCTTCAGGAGAAGCCCACATTCTCCAGTTTATACATTCACATCCCACAAGAGGACTGTGTAATACCTTAAGTCAGTGGTTGTCAACCTGTGGGATCCCCAGATGTTTTGGCCTTCAACCCCCAGAAACCCTAACAGGTGATAAACTGGCTGGGATTTGTGGGAGTTGCAGGCCAAAACACCTGGGGACCCACAGGTTGAGAACCACTGACTTCAGTTATAAATGTTTTTATTCCATCGCATGACTTTGTACACCACAGAAGGCAAATCATTCCAACCTTCCCAAGATCAATGATTTAGACACTGGAAATACTGAAATTACTTTAAAGTCGCTTTTGAAAATGTTCCTGCAACTTCATTGGACCTATACAAGGACACCCACACGTTCCCATTCAGCTTTCGTTCACCCCAAAGGACTTGGACAGAAGTGCCTGGCATGACTATTCCCTGTGCAATTATCCTTGTATTTATTTTTTTCTTCCTTTGCCAAGGAGCTCTGTAAACATTACTACATATTTTACAACCATACTTTCAAGTTCTTCACTGCTACAAACTCAGATTTAATTTGGGGGGAGTGAAAATATGGAAACTCGTGATCATATTGCATGTCTTGAAGCCTTAAGCGCCCGTCAAATGGAAATCATGCTGTCAAGAGTAAATCTACATCTGAGACTTGCTACCTGTCCTGAAGAGATCAAAACTGAGTTCCAAAACTGAGAGGCTACACACAAATCTGGATTCACACACATGTGTGAGTTAGAAACAAAACCCTTTGTCAGCATCTCCTCTTGAAAGGCTGAACTCAAAATCCACATCTGCCACTGTGTTGGACAATTTTTCCACATGCACCTCAACACTGCCCACCCCTCAAATGTTGCACAGTCCTTTTGGCGTTCACATCACCCAGAAAAAAATAACCTTACCTTCTACCCAGAGCTGCTCAATATCCGTCTCAATGGAGGCTACGCGCAGCCCTAGAGCCAGCGCCCCAAACACCAGCAGTCCCACAAAAAGTACTTTGCCACAATGACGCTGGATCCAGCATCCCAGTGTAAAGAGCAGAGCCTGGAACTGGGCCCGCAACCACAACGGGGCTTTCTGGCCCACGGCTTTACCCTGTGGAAAGAAACAGAAGTCAGCCAAGGCCTTTCTGCTGTGGGGCGCAGCAACTCCTTCCTTCCCTGGGGCCTTGGGGGTGAAGGCAGGCCTAGTGCCTTTGGAGAAGGCACTCTGGGAAGGCTCTTTGCTTAGATGTGGTGCTGTGTGGGACCTCCCCTTTGCTAGAAACTTCCTGTACCCTCTCTTTGCTACCTCTCCCTTCCAGTTTGGAGAGAAAAAGATGGGAGCAAGACCTCTAGATATGGCCACAGGATGAGAGAAAAAGGCCCATCCTGCCACAACACAGGTTTTGGCAATGGGGAGGTCTCCCTTCCCCTTCCTCAGGAAAGTCTCTTTGCAGCCCCAGTTCTGCCCTAACTCAGCTCCCCTGCTTGAATGGGGTTTGGTGAGATGCTGGATCTCTCTGGCTGTGTATAGTAGGAAGATGATGGCTATTGCAAGCCCAACTGGACGTGCTGAGGGGACTAACCAGCCATAGCTTTCCAGAAGGGAGCTGGAGGCAGATCCAATTGCCACTCTTTGCCTCTGCAGAGTCCTGCTCCCTCCCTTCATGATGGGTCCCCGCTTCTTTCCCACCTCTTTTCACCCAGGGAGAGTCTATATTGTGGAAAGAATATTGCTTTAACCACTAAGGGCTCAATGCTGTAAAGCAAGCATGGACAAACTTCGGCCCTCCTCCAGGTGTTTTGGACTTCAACTCCCACCATTCCTAACAGCCTACCGGCTGTTAGGAATGGTGGGAGTTGAAGTCCAAAACACCTGGAGGAGGGCCGACGTTTGCCCATGCCTGCTATAGAGTCTTGAGAGCTGAAGTTTGCTGTGGCTCCAGCAGCTCTTTTGGCCAACTCCTGGGATGTCCCCGTCGTGTCAGGCGTGGACGCCGCGCCGCCTCTTCTCCCCTGCGCCGCCCTTTCTTTCCCGGAGGTCAGTCCCCCGCTCCTTGCTTCTCCCCGCCGAAGCGCCCCTTCCTGGGGGAGACCCTTCCCTCCTCTCCCTGCCCCAGCTTCCTTCCCGCCGAGCCTCCCCTCCCCTCCCCTCCCCTCCCGGCCGGCGCCCCTTCCCGTAAACAGGCGCTGAGGAGGACCGCCGCGAGGCTGCCTGAGGGAAGAAGGGCGGGAGCCTGCCCCTCGCTTCCCTTCCCTTCTTTTCCCTTCTCCTCGCTGCCTCCTTTCCCTTCCTTCCATTTCCCCTCGTCCCTCGCTGCTTCCCTTCATCCTTCCTCCTTCACGGACTCCTTTCCTTTCCCTTCTCCTTCCCTTCCTCCCTCTTTTTCTCCCTTCCTCTCCCATCCCTGAGGCTCTTGGAGGGAGCTTTCTCTTCCTTTCCCTTCTTCCTTTTCCTCCCTGCCAACCTTTCCTTCCTTCTCACCTCTTTTTGCTTCCTTTCCCTTCATCCCTCCTCCTCGCCGCCTGCTTCCCTTCCCTTCCTTTCATTTCTCCTCGTCCCTCGCTGCTTCCCTTCATCCTTTCTCCATCACTGACTCCCTTCCCTTTCCCTTTTCCCCCTCTCCCTCTCTTCCTCTCCCATCCCTGGGGACCTTCTTTATTTCCCTTCTCTTCCTCTCCTTTCCTGCTCCCTCTCTGCCTCCCTTCCCTCTCTTCCTTCTCTCCTCTTTTTGCTTCTTTTCCTTTCTTGTCCCTTCCTTTCCCTTCATCCCTTCTCCTGTCCCTTCCTTAAGGACCCTTCCCTTTCTTCCCTTCCTTTTCCTTCCTCCTCGCTCACTCTCTGCTTCTCTCCCCCCTTCCTTCTCCCTTCTTTTAGCTTTCTTTCCCTTCTCGCTTCCCTTTCCCTTCTCGTTCCTTTCCTCCTTGCTCCCTCTTTTCCTCCCTTCCTCTCCCATCCCTGGGGCTCCTGGGGGCCTTTGGAGGGGCCCTTTCCTTCCTCCCTTCCCTCCTCGCTGTCTCCTTTCCTTTCCCTTCCTCTCCTCCCTCGCTGCTTCCCTTCATCCTTTCGCCTTCACTGACTCCCTTCCTTTCCCTTCCTCCCTGCTCCCTCTCTTCCTTCCTTCCCCTTCCATCCCTGGAGCTCCTGGGAACCTTTGGAGGGTCCCTTCCCTTCCTCACTCTTTGCCTCCCTTCCCTTCCCTCCCCGCTGCCTTCTTTCCTTTCCTTTCCCCTCGTCCTTCGGTGCTTCCCTTCCTCCTTCCCTGACTCCCTTCCTTTCCCTTCCTGCCTGCTCCCTCTCTTCCTCCCTTGCTCTCCTATCCCTGGGGCTCCTGGGGGCCTTTGGAGGGGCCCCTCCCTTCCTCCCCTTCCGGCTCCCCTCCGTGGGAAGCCTGGGTCGGGGCTCACCTTGGAGATCTGCTTGAGGGCGAAGGCGGCGTGGCAGTAGCTGGGGCGGCGGAGCAGATCCGAAGCTGCGGCGGCGGAGGCTGCCTTGGGTCCGGCCTTGTGGCCGTCGGGGCGCTGGGCCTTGCCTCCCGGGGCCCCGGGGCCCGTCCGCTGGGCAGCCATGCTCCGGGGTGGGCCGGGGGCGAGCGGAGGGAGGGCGGGCGCCGTGATCCGTGGGCCAGGCAGGCTTCAGCGCGGCGTCGGCGTCTGTTCCTGCGGGGCTGGCCCGTGGACATTATGGGGGCGAGTCGGGGGCCATGCACGCGCGCCCCATGCGCCCTCGACGCGCGCCTCAGGCAGGCAGCAGACCCGGGTCGGCGTTGGCGGCGTTGGCGGCAGCAGCAGCAGCAAGGGCAAGAGCAGGCTCCTTCTCAGCGACGGTGCTGTGCCTCCGGTGCCGTCCCACCAACATTTGGAAGCGAGAGCCCTCTCCGAGATCCTGAAAAGAGGAGCCGAGCAGGGAGGGAGGGCGGGGGGAGGCAAGGAGGAAGGTTTGGTTTGATGGGAAAGTGCCCCGGTTCCCATTGGCCGAGGAAGAGGCAAATTACTCCGCAAACATCTCCTATTATTAGCTGCTAAGCAACAGCTCACCAAAGTGGAGAGAGGGGAGACCACCCAGGCAGCGCCTCCGCCTCCCCCGCCTCCCCGCCTCAAATCAATGAGGGCAGGAGCAGAAAGGGAGGGGGAGAGAGAGAGAGAGAGAGAGGGAGGGAAGGAAGGAGAGAGAGCCTGGCCTTCCTTCCCCACACAGGAATTCTGCTCCACAGATTTTCACAGGCAGCCCCGACCAGCAGCGCCTTTTGTTTATGGTCGCCAGCGGACGGAGGAGCCCAGGCTTTGGGACAGCTGCAAGAAGGAAGGAAAGGAAGGAAGGGATGGGGACTCTGCAAAAGTTGGAGGAAAAAAGGGGGCCAAAGAGTCAACCTGGGGGGAAAAGAACCCCAACGGGTACAAAAAAGGCAGGCCGACCCAAATGCCCCATCCCCAATACACACAGTTCAAAGAAGAAGTAAAAAACCAACGTTGGATAGTGTTGGAAGCTCTCTGAAGGCGGTGGAGCTGCCACCATATATATATACACACAGAAGAACTCTTTTCCTACATCCAAAGTTATAAATCCAAAGTTATACATCACTTCTAAGTTAGAACACAAGGTTAAACCCTTGTGCCGGCAGGACTGAAGACCAACAAGTCACAGGTTCAAATCCAGGGAGAGCACGGATGAGCTCCCTCTGTCAGTTCCAGCTCCCCATGTGGGGACATGAGAGAAGACTCCCACAAGGTTGGTAAAACATCAAAACATCTGGGTGTCCCCTGGGCAGCGTCCTTGCATACGGCCAATTGTCTCACACCAGAAACAACTTGCAGTTTCTCAAGTAGCTCCTGATACAGCAGTGCTTCTCAACCAGTGGGTCCCCAGATGTTTTGGCCTTCAACTCCCAGAAACCCTAACAGCTGGTAAACTGGCTGGGATTTCTGGGAGTTGTAGGCAAAAACACCTGGGGACTCACAGGTTGAGAACCACTGTGATACAGAAAAAAAAAACTTCTAACAGAAGCACATGTATAAAGTGCGTAGGGTTCCTTCCTCAAGAAAAGTCAACAGATGTTGAGGAAGAAGGAGGGCGGCTAAAATGATCAAGAATCTGGAGAACTAACCCTATGAGGAGCAGCTTAAAGAGCCAGGCATGTTTAGCCTTCAGAAGAGAAGGCTGAGAGGAGACATAATGAGGGCCATGGTTAAATATGTGAGGGGAAGGCATAGGGAGGAGGGAGCGAGCGAGCTTGTTTCCTGCTTCCCTGGAGACTAGGACGCAGAACAATGGCTTCAAACTACAAGAGAGGAGATTCCATCTGAACATGAGGAAGAACTTCCTGACTGTGAGAGCTGTTCAGCAGTGGAACTCTCTGCCCTGGAGTGTGGTGGAGGCTCCTTCTTTGGAAGCTTTTAAACAGAGGCTGGATGGCCATCTGTCAGGGGTGATTTGAATGCAATATTTCTTCTTCTTGGCAGGGGGTTGGACTAGATGGCCCATGAGGTCTCTTCCAACTCTTTGATTCTATGATTCTATGAACTTCCAAACAGTGAGAGTTGTCCAGCAGTGGAACACTCTTGCCTGGAATGTGGTGGAGGCTCCTTCTTTGGAGGCTTTTAAACAGAAGCTGGATGACCACCTGTCAGGGGTGATTTGAATGTGATTTTCTGCCTTTTGGCAGGGGGTTGTGCTGGATGGCCCACAAGGTCTTTTCCAACTCTATGAATCTATAAGAATAGATTCCACGGAAATATGCTGTGGGTATCAAACACATTTGGATCCCTGCTCTTGTTCTTTAGAAAGGAAGCCATAAACCACATGACAAAGAGTATTGTTTTGATCATGACAAGGTTTTTTTTGGGAAAGGGTTGAGGCACATTCTTCCAGACAGGACTATACAACCTGTAGTCCTCCCAGTGTTTGGGACTCCAGTTCCCAGAAGCCCAAGCCAACCTGTCCAATGGCCAGGAGTTTTGGGAACTGAAATCCAAAAGACCTATAGGCTCACAGGTCATGCAGTCCTATTCCAGAGCAAAGCAGAGCAGATCCATTTCTATAGAGCAGGCATGGGCAAACTTGGGCCCTCCAGGTGTTTTGGACTTCAACTCCCACAATCCCTAATAGCCTCAGGCCCTTTCCTTTTTCCCCTCAGCTGCTTAAGACAGTGGTTCTCAACCTTCCTAATGCCATGACCCCTTAATACAGTTCCCCATGTTGTGGCGTCCCCCAACCATAAAAAATATTTTAGTTGCTACTTCATTAATCATAATGTAAATATCTGATATGCAGGATGTATTTTCATTCACTGGACAACATTTGGCACAAATACCCAATACGTGCAAATTTTAATACTGGTGGAATTGGGGGTGGGGATTGATTGACATTTGGGGGTTGTAGTTGCTGGGATTTATAGTTCACCAACATTCAAAGAGCATTCTGACCTCCACCAATGATGGAATTGAACCAAACTTGGTACATAGAACTCCCACAACTGACAGAAAATACTGGAAGGCCATTGCCTTTGAGTTTTGGAGTTGTAGTTCACCTACATCCACAGAGCACTATGGACTCAAAAAATGGTGGATCTGGACCAAACTTGGCATGAATACTCAATCTGCCCAAATATGAACACTGGTGAAGTTTGTGGAATACAGACCTTGACATTTGGGAGTTGCAGTTGCTGGGATTTATAGTTCACCTACAATCAAAGAGCATTCTGAACCACACCAACAAATTGAGCCAAACTTCCCACACAGAACTCCCATGACCAACAGAAAATTCTGTGTTTTCTGATGGTCTTTGGCAACACTTCTGACATCCCCTTGTGACCCCCCCCCTCGGGATCCCGACGCCCATGTTGAGAAACGCTGAAAAGGAAAGGAAAAGAAAGGGGCCTGAAGCTGTTAGGAATTTTGGGAGTTGAAGTCCAAAACACCTGGAGGGCCAAAGTTTGCCCATGCCTGCTATAGAGTAAGACAAAAAATATGCCAAATTGTTTTGGTCTCCCTGAGGGACCACTAGAACAGTGAAACACCTCAAAACCAAGCTACATCTTTCTAGTACAGCCAGAACTCAGAATTCAATATTATTTTTGGGGAGGGATTAAGGATAGAATGCATAACATGCCCATTTCTCCAAAGTAAAACAATAAAGGTGGGATGTATTGTCGAAGGCTTTCATGGCCGGAATCACTCAGTTCTTGTGGGTTTTTTCGGGCTATATGGCCATGTTCTAGAGGCATTTCTCCTGACGTTTCGCCTGCATCTATGGCAAGCATCCTCAGAGGTGAGGTCTGCTGGAGCTGGGAAAAAAGGGGTTTATATATCTGTGGAAAGACCAGGGTGAGACAAAGGGCTTTTGTAAGTTGGGCTGGGTGTGGATCTTTCAGCTGACCACCTTGATTAGCATACAATGGGCTGACTGTGCCTGGAGCAAACTCTTCTTGAAGGGTGATTAGATGTCCCTGCCTGTTTTTCTCTCTGCTGTTTTTGCTGTTGCAATTTTAATTTTAGAATTTTTTAATACTGGTAGCCAGATTTTGTTCATTTTCATGGTTTCTTCCTTTCTGTTGAAATTGTCCACATGTTTGTGGATTTCAATGGCAATCTACAAACCCACCAAGAAAATCCAACAAATGCTACGTTCAGCAAAGGACAAGAGGGATCCTCTCACCTCTGCAGGAGTCTACCGTGTACCATGCAGCTGTGGACAAGTCTACATAGGGACCACCAAACGCAGCGCCCAAACACGAATCAAGGAACATGAAAGGCACTGCAGACTACTTCAACCAGAGAATCAACCATAGCAGAGCACCTGATGAACCAACCTGGACACAGCATTTTATTTGAGAACACAGAAATGCTGCACCACTCTCACAACCACCATGTCAGACTACACAGAGAAGCCATTGAAATCCACAAGCATGTGGACAATTTCAACAGAAAGGAAGAAACCATGAAAATGAACAAAATCTGGCTACCAGTATAAAAAGAAACTCTAAAATCATTACAGTAAATAAAGAAAAACATTCAAAAAC